AGAACCACCGTAGTGCCGATTTGGTCGCCCGTCTTCCCTGAGAGCAATACCAGCTGAGTCTGCAGATATGACAGGAGACACTGAGACTGGGACGATTCCATTTTTGCTTTAATATCAACACTTTGAGTCCTGTTACAGCAAGAGAAAAACATAATAAAATATACCAAAAACCAAGAAACAGAATAATATAACTTTTAACTTCACCTTTACCTGTGTGTTATCAGATGCCACCAGAGCCACATCACCAACTTTGTCCCCATCCAGATCTGGGACACTGAGAACGGGCGCAGAGCTGCGCAGCCCAGTAGGCTGAGACTGTTGCCAGATTTTCGTACCTGAGACAACCACACCGCACAGTAACAACGCAGGTTACAAAACACATCTTTCTTTACCTAAAACGGATCTTTAGAAGTTAAAATTGCTTTACTTCCTTTCTTTAACTAGACTTCAGGAACACTACATTAAATGGTATGTCAGTAATTTGTTGCCACTAACAAATTGGAAATGGGTACAATTTTTTTCTTAGCCAGTAAAATCCCCATTTCTCTTCCTCTTAATTAAATAAAGGATTTGATTTGCCACTACTTGCATCGAGTTTGTTTTTTCACTAACCTGTACGTTTGTCGATGGCTATGAGTTTGTCAGAGTGGGACAGCAGACAATCCCAGGTTCTGCCCGTTTCTCTTTCGAGGCCACACTGGGCCCAGTGGAAGTCGGGTTCCAGCGGACAGTCCCACAGGTTCTCTCCATGTGTGCCATCCAGTGCCAACAGAAACACGCATGGTGAGGATAGACCTGGAAAACCCACAGTTTTTCTAAACAAACATAACACACAATGGGTGTATTGTATTCTCATAAACAGAGGATCAGTCTCTACCTTCATCAGCACATGATCTGTTCTGTGTCACTTCTGTGGTTTTGAGAACAAACAGGACATCCATCACCTTGTCTTCATTTGCATGTTCAAAAGCTAAGAAGTTGTAGGTTGCTGTGGTGAAGAAAAGAGAAAGTAGTGCCTAATTATCTCACAACTATAACACTGTCAAGCAGTGAAAGGCATATAATTGCACTCACCTGCTCCAGGGAATGAACTGTTCCAGGTAACGAGATATTGTGGCCTCACGGGACAGGGGATGATGAAGGAGAAGGCAAACACGATGGTGAGGCAAAGGAACAAGGACAAGAAAAAGACTGCAGTTCGCCAGTGAGACAGTTTGGAAAAACCCAACTCCTTGCAGCTCTTTTTCTTCAGCTCTGTTGCTGATGGTACTGTTCCTGCCTCTGCACCATCTTCTCCTGTCTTCAGAGGGTCGCCCTCAGTGGCTTGGTCTGTGGTCTCCATCACTGCCTTAACGCATTACTGGCCCACTGACCTGCCTAAAAGGAGAAAAGAGATTATGGTAAACACTTACGTAAATACATACCACTGCAAATACAAATTGTCATATACAGTTCCAGTGTGGAGCGGATTACAAACCTGCATGTGTCAAAGTAACCATACAAAACTCGCTGGCATTCACAGATACACTCTGTGGGAAATAATACTGGAGGCAGCAGTGTCTAGAAGTCCAGCTATTTCTGCTGCATCAACCTTTGTGAATCTCTGCTTATTCAGATGTGCCAGCACAGATCCAGACGCTTCTCAGCACAAAAAGAGCAGACCCATAATAAACATCGCTCAGGATTGCACACCATATTATTTGTTCTGCAGCAACAGGCTTATTACTCACACGTAAAAAAAGAAAAATAAGGGCGTGTGCTACAAACTTCCTTATGCATATTACAAACAGACTCGCACAAAATTATTTTACGCCCCGAGACCGTGCCGTGAAAGTCTTTTCTTCGCCTTAGTCAGTTCCGGATAGCTATCTATATTAACGAGATTAGGTATTTAAAAAAAGTTTACCCTCAACACCTGGGTGGATTAGTTTGCTAACTTGTTGAACGAAGGCCAGCCCCG